TCCGTCCAAGAAAATATTGTCAAAGCACTGGAAATATTAAAAGCCATATAATAACTTCGTCATCTATAAATAAACCGAAGAGAACTGTCGAAGTACCGGAGAAGAATGAAAAAAATTACATTTAACACTTAAAAATTTGCTCTTCTACTTCACGCTCTTGCAAAGAATACAAACACGAATCTATGACTGGTTAGTAGTCTGGTAAACCGCCTTTCACTTCATATAAACTTTGCCGGACATGAAGCGTGCATCGGCATGAAGTTCCGAGGTCCACACTTCATCATGAGATTCCGAAGGCGCATACATTGTCATCATCGTCCCATTGCTGCTATTTGATCTAAAATGCCATTCGACCAGCAAGCCTGCTCTCCAAAATCCTTCTGTCTATGGCTGCATCGATTGAACTCATCTGAAAAACAAAACCACAATGAGATCATCAGAGAGGGACTGTGGGCACAATCATTTGGTTAAAGCCAGATAAGTAAACTGGTCCTATGATCTAACCGGAGATGCCAAACTTTATGAAAGAATCTGACCTGGGCCAAGTCTGGTTTCACTGTTCAACGATAAAATAACGTTGCTACAATTATAAAAAAAATTTATTGGTCTCAACATTGTTTCACTCGAACCCCAAAACCGCAAAAGAAAGCATGGGGAGAGTGAACAACAGATAAATCCAAATTTTAAAAGAGCAAATATATACATTCCGTACTTAACTGAGTACAATGCTAGGTAGGAGAATCCTGGATCCCATTGCAGCAAGCTTGTCAAAATTGTAAATACTAACTAACAGCAAAAATAATGTAAATACCTACTTGAATCTTTTGATGCAGTTGCGTGGAAACCGGAGAATGGCAGTATAAACAAAACAGCATGCCCATCAACCAATTGGGTTGGAAGGCAGAAAGATGGATGATTAAAAGGTTCACATGTTCTTTCTTAATTTGTTTGTTTTCAATGGAAAAAGTTCAAACTCATACAGTACACAAATACCTCTCTAATCAGGAAACAATTGGTAAACAACCCAGTCTGAAAAGACAGAACATAAAGCCTACCTAGCTGGTTAGAGCAATGCAACCCCGTAAGTTAAAGAGGTAGTATGACTTACCTGGCTAGTTTCATCATGAACCTGATACTTCACTAAGGACATTCTTCTTTCCTCCTGCAAATCAAATTAACCCATTTAACAAGTTAGCAATCAGTCCGAACCAGAAAACATAAAACAAGTTAGTAAGAACCAGCAAGCCTAGCAAAGTGGAAACGTAACAAACATTTGGGAAATTAAGAACGACTTACCATGGACATAGCTTCATCATCCCAAACTAGATACACCTCATTAGCAGCTGGCTGGGGAGCAGGAGCTTTGTTTGCAATAACAGGGGGTGGTCCAATTGATGGACCACCAGTGTTTGGACCAGATGCATAAGAGTGTGAATTAACACCTGTAGCAATTAAATGCAAAGGAAATATCAGATTGACAAGCCTTGCCCGTATGAAATCAACAATCCAAAGGCATCAACAAGGAGAATTTAGCAATGTGGTAGGTATTCTTTATTGCAACGGGAAAATACGTAAGGCTTAGCATACCAGAACAATTACTAGCTAAGTTTAGATAAAAACAATTACAGGATTAATTGGGTGCATATCAAGGAACATAAAAGATGCCTTTGTAATAAATCAAACACTAAGCCTACAAGGGAAAACTAGCCATTGCTAGCATATCCAAATTTGAAGTTCACCAAAACAGAACTCTCTATAAGAATCTCAGAAGGCAACTAGAATATAAAAAAAAACAAAAGAAAAGCTGAAGTATCTACTACTTATTTGATCAGACATGAAATATAGGTCGAACTTAAAAGCAAGAAGACAACTCTGACACCATACTGCTATCATGCACACAAAGGAGCATTTAAAAAAAAAAAAAAAAAAAAATCAACAATAAGAAATCAAAACTGAAACGCTTAGAGAACTACTTGTTTGGAAAGTTTTAGTACCTTGATAAGCATCCGTTGGTCCTTTAACTTCAGCTGGAGAATTTAAAGGAATACTTGTTGAAAGCATGGGAGCAGAAAAGGGAGAACTTTGTGTTGGTACATTATTTATACCAACAACAGGAAATAGGGGTTGTGATACAGGAACAGGAGGCATGGATGTAGGAAGGCCAGGAGGGGCTATATGTGGAGGCAGAAGTCCAGGGGTGGTTGTTGATGGTAGAGGTGGTCTCCCATTGTGCACAGGAAACAATGGCTGCTGCACATAACCCAATGAGGAAGCAGGTACTGAGACTGCTGGAGGCTGTGGATACCATGGCTGGGGACGAGGTGGAACTTGCCAAGCATTCGGAGTCACCGGAACTGCAGAATTGTACCTGGTGCAAACAAAACCAAAAGAAACAAACAGATAAGTTATTTAAGTAAATGCTAATCATGATGTACAGCAGTGACATAATTTCAAAATTTCACAAAGCCGGTTGCAGAGGATATGCAAGAAACCTGACTAAAAACATACATTGGCCGCATTGCACCCAAAGGTGGTTGGGGAGGATATGCAACCCCCATCGAACCTGGCACCATACCACCAACAAACTGGGTTGTTGGGATGTTTACCTTAGCTACTTTTGATGGACCGTCTTCCTCTGCACATAAATTGAGATATTTAGAAAATAAACTTAATATATATGATTAACGCCATAAACTACTCAAAATGATAGGTATAGTACATTTTTTATTTTTTTTATTAGTCTTTAGCTCAAATGAGACAACACTTTCAAATGGATTGCACAGTCAATATTCCATGGCAAAACATTTTATGCAGAATTCGTATGCAGAGATTAGGACATCCAAATCCATATGAATGTATATTTGCAAGAGTGCATAAGCATAACTTAGTTCAACCATGAACACAAGAGAATTTGAAAAACTGTTACATGGACAAAATATAATAAGTATATTACATGGATACTGCTATGAACATTCTAATAGAATGTCTAATTCAATACATTATATTATTCAAGGAAGTCCAAAATAGATGGGTCCATCTATGCATACTTGAACGTATCATCACATCCAGGTCACAATTTAATGCGAGTCAAACCAAACCATGGCATAAACTAGTTGAATTTGAAAATGACTAAAAGTTCACACATCACCAAATACCAACGATGATAACATAACATGAAGATAATATATCAAAATTGTCTGGATAAACATCAAAACCAGTAAGGATCCTTTTACCTTCCTCTCCATAATGTGCAGCCAAGACGTCAGGTGGGATTCCTTGCATCCCATAAATTTCAATATCCGTTGACTCCCTGCCATCCTTCGCATTGGGAACCCTGTAAAATACATTTTTTGCCGGTTTGACTATCAGCAAATTTAAATTCATGAAAAGGAATTATTTTGAGCCACAGCTAAAATATAATGGACATACTTCAACCATACTCTGTAATAGCTCATTAAAAAGATCAAGTGAAGTAGTTCAACTTTAATCACAAACAATTAGCATCAACAACCATCTATGACAATGTTCTTATGTCCCAGCTAGAACAATTGAACTGGGGATTTTGAATATGTTTTGTTCTTAGACATAAACTGAAAGTTACTTTTGGTAATAATACAGTAGAAAAAGATTAAGTTCATCATCAGTGTACAGTGGCATCCATTACAAAATAACCTATGGGCATAAAAATCATCTTACAGTCATGAGTAAGAAGTCAACACAATCGATTATCCTCCTGAGGTTTCAGGTGCTCTCTTATTATCAAGCAGGCCCCTTACGTAAACAAGTTCATATTACAGTATATCCCAACAAAAGAGAACAGAATTTATATTAACAGACCCATTGTTTCCTGGATTCCCAGTTCTACTAAAATTACAAGCACTCACAAAATCTGCCAAAGTCCCGCACTTTTGCACTTAATCCACCTTCAAGCTACCAAAATTATTAACACCTATAACCCAAATTTGCTCGAAAGTCTAAGAGACCGTCGCAGCCTATCAATTCCATTGACCATTAAGTTGCATCTATGCAGCTAACAAAAAGATATAATCCCAAACTATCTTTCCAGCTAAAAAATTGTCCAAAACTGCCGAGCCCACATTACAAAATCACACCCAACTGACCAAATTTAGATTTTTTTCAGCGATGAAATTTCCATTTAGACCCAAATCCATTTACAACAGAATAAAAACAATAAAGATCATAACTTTCTATAACAGGGGATCAATATCATAGAACAAATTCATCGAGAAAGAAGGCATAAAAATTAGGGTTTTGGCAATTGGGGGAAAGGTATAGAAAGCCATACTTGGTGACGCTCTCTTTGTGGACCTGGAGGACGTGAATGGCCATGCCGCCGGCGGTGGAGAGCTTCTTATGGCAGACATGGCACTTGAAGTGCTTGGCTTTCTGATGCTGCACCAGTATCTTCTCATCGTCGAATTCTCTATCGCAGTAGTAGCACCACACCTTCGACGCCACTCTCTTCTTCTTCTTCCCATACTGCCCTTCTACCCCCTTTGCCCTCCTTCTGCGGCTCTTCTTCTTCCTCTGGTTCTTCTCCCTTCTCTCCCTCTCTCTCTCTCACTCTCTCTCTCTCTGTCTGTGCGAGCCTTTGGTTTTGGTATTTGGGTTTTTGTTTTGGGGTTTTTATTTCTCTTGCTGTGATTTGTGGTTTGTTGAATTTCATGTATTTGTATTTATAGCGTGTTTACAATTTTTTTTTTAAATTTTTTATTTACCGAGAGTTGTAATGGTAAATCGGATTTGGGCTTTTCCAATTGGTGTTGACCCGAGTTGAGCCCCAATCCAATAATTGACCCGTTCAAGTTGTTTTACTAATCCACTTGTCATAACATAACACCAACTAACGATGTGACGGTTACATAAAAAATTTACTGTGACATTTTGACTCATAACTTTTCTGCCCTTCGAAAAAGAAATTCGCACTTTTTTTCTTAATGTTGACTAATTGTGTCGTGATTTCATCAAGCTCTGGCAAGTAAAAGTACAACCAGAAAGAAGCTTGTGATTGCAAGCATGATATCATCTCAGGTTCAAAAGCATCCGACAGAAAACGAAAACTAGCGGACATGTATCAAACGGACTGCAGACAGCCGCATACAAACTTCAGAACTCGTTCTTCCAACCGTTGAAACGCAGAACAGCACATATCCTACCCTTCTTTCTTGGAGGATTGGGAAGAATCAGCGTCGCCTTTTAATTTGCTTACACTAGCTTCGGCTTCAGCAAGAAATGCAGGATCAGGCTTGTGTTTGTCTGAAGGTTCTTTCATTGCCATATATATGTAAAATGCGATAACAACGTTGACAGATATAACAGCAAGAAATCCACTCAACAATGTGAGTGAATAGGGAGACATGTCGCTTACACCTGTTTCAAATGAATAACCACCTTGCTCAGAGAACCAAAACAAAAACCTAGGGAAGAAACTTTACGAAAAACAATTAGTAGCCCCCTTCCCAAATTCGACGATAGGATGCCATCTTCATTTTTATAAATCCCATTCACCGTATCAAATTATGCAATTCGCATAAACAATATAGATCCCAATGACAATTTTTCATGTGAGACCATTAGTTGGAATTTGGAAGCAAGATTTAGAAGATTTGACTGAGACTTAAATACAAAATGCGAACTAGAAATGGTCTGCTTATTTAGAAAAAATATGGGTAAGCACACAAACATTATCGAAAAGAATACTTAGGTAGATAACTGTATAGTAATATAGCACTAAGAAGAAAAACCCAGCATAACTAGTGCAAGTTTTTGTTAGAATAACTCTATGAGGGACCTCAAACAAGATGCAGTACTATGAAAATGACAAAAGCTGCAGTACTTGACACAATAACCTTACCGGGAAGCAAATTATTGTTGAACGCATATAATATTGCAACGGGAATTATCCACATAAACATTGATGCAGTAACGAACTTTTGTATCACTCCTGCCATTGTTATCTCCAATCTGCATAACAAAGAGAAAAACAATCAATCCCAACAGAACAACAAATCACAGAGAACAATAAGCCATACACAAACATTGCCGAGGGAGAGCTGTAAAAGACCATCGAGCCAGAAGATATGCAACTGAATTTCGGAACAAACAACTGAAAACAGTTCCTATATCTGTACCTAAACATTATTCTTAATGATCGTAAATTCATGAATCGAAACTTATATCAAATACCCATGGAAAGGAAAGAAAACTAAAGAATAAGAATTGCAGAGATGAGTGATCCAGATGTCTCTTTAGGATACTTGTATGCAGTGCTTAAGTGAAGTACTAACTACTTGATTTTTACTGGGATATGATATACCACTAGAAAGCCATCTATATATACAAATAAAGATCAAAACTTTTTCATATGCAATCAAACAACAAGCAACCCCACAAGCGAACAAAGACACCAACTTTCAAAACTTTACATTGTTTTTCAAAAGGGTACATGGTATAAGAGTGACCTAACCTCACACAGACATTAAATCGAACACTTGGTGTGCACATACTCAACCGACAAAACAACGGAGCGAGAAGGAGCGTACCCAAGCGAGAGCCTTGGATCGGGAGACTGAGAGTAAACTAGAAACGATTTGACTTCCCAGTGTTAGCTTGGCTTTTGCTGCGCAATCCAATCGATTCTGCTACAGAAATTGCATATCGGCAAAGGGGGAAGCAAAACCTGTGTTTTGGGTGCTGGCTAGGTGCTGTACAATTGTGAGCCGTTGAGATCAATCTTACGGTGAGTGTTTTAAACGAGCTCATGCGTAGAAACGGGTGAAATATTACCCGTATTACAAAGCAAACACCCGACGGCTCCTGTCAAATCTCAAGCTCTCTCGTATCGAAGGTGGGGCGAGTCCCTTGGCCTCCGACCTGAAACAACATCTTCTTCCTTCTCTGTCTGGTGTTTTCTGAGTAAAAACACTTTGCTGCTGCAGAGTAGGGGAGCTGTGAGTAAAAACACTTTGCTTCCGCCAGCTCCCTTCCCCTTCCCCTTCCCCTTCCCCTTTCTATCGATAGACTATGACGATCACTATGTAGGATGATCACAGTCGTTGGATCTTCTTCCGCACCGTTGGACCGCAGGAGAGACGCTCAAGGACATATCGAATGGAAACTTTCTACGTGGGCTTCTTCAGTGACCGACTGAAACCCAATTAGGACATAAATGAATGTCCATAAAGAACATTTGAAATTTATCAGTCGCTAGAAAAACCCTAACCCTAATGCCGCGCTGCAAAAACTAAAGGAAGCTGCAGTAGGATATTATCAAAAGATCATCAACGTCAACCAAGTTAAATCCACCAGAGTTGATCATGGATTGTATTGTTGATCTTCCCGAGCATTTATTGGTTGAATCCTCCTCCTCCCTAACCCTAACCCTAACCCTAATAACTTCTCCCTGTGATTACTACATAAGCAATGGCTTGCTGTAACTCCTTCTCCTCTCAGGTGACGGTATGTAGTAGTATCATCCAGTTTAATGCTGAGTACAGGTGGACGGTGGTGCTAATGCATCGAAATTTGTCAGGTGATGTCTGCACCTCCTTCCATGTGGCGATGATCTCTTCTGAGACTAGTGGTGAATGGAGGAGGGAGTTGGCTCTGTCATGCAGCCCACAACAGATACAAGTAGATAAACAGATTTGACCTTATTATTTCACTCCTCACCAGCCAGTCGTTTTTCACAATGGAATATTTTATTGGAGGCTTTATGGGTTTCCCTTACTTTTGAGTTGGGTCCGTCTGGTAGTTATAGTAGTGCTGACCATATAAATGGCATTTGATTGAGGACCCTATGACTCGATTTGTTGAACACTCTCGATGTCTTTTAGGTGTCTGCGGATATGCCATTCTAGATGGAGTGGTGATGATCTATTCACTGTTTGGGAGTTGAAGCTTCCCCATATTTCCTTAGTCTGAGGTGTTCCGCCATTGCCTTTAGTTTTCGTTGTCTTTTTTTAGTGGACTTTGAGTCTTTGAGAGCTGCGTAGAGATGTATGAGGGCATAATCTTTAGTATTGGGGGCGTGCCATGCATCCACAATTTCACTTTGTGCAAACCACATGCACAAGTGATTGAGAGTAATCTTCATGTGCATGGGCACTGTATCTAGCGAAATCCTTAAATATTTTGAGTGCATACCTACACATCATTCAATACAAAAATGTATGTTTTGCATATGTGATCCACACATCCTCTCTTGTGCCTGAATTAGAAGAAGTAATTCAATCGATCAATTTTGAGACCATTTGGGAAATTTATGTAGAACTAAAAAGAAATTCAAAAGCTTCATCATGAAATTGAAATATGATGCCACAGGTCTAATTAAATTCTTTTTTCTTATACAGTTAATTGGGAACTTGGGATTGAGGAGTTAAGTTGTTGGTGTCAAAATATATTCATCTTTTATTTCGTGCTGAAATTCGAAACTTTACGCATTTATATAGTTAAATATGTTGTCAAGATATCTGATTAGTTAGGTAAGTTAGACTCTTGATGAATTTTATCACTGAGAACAATACAGAATATCTATATGTAGATTCTTGAATTTTATAACCCCTTTTAAGTTGATGACAAGCAGGTAGCATTGCCTTATCAAAAGTTCGTAATAAATCAAACCTCCACTTTTCATATCTTCGTGACTTGGAATCGGTTTGTGATGGCTTTATACACCGGTTAGTCGTGCCATCTGAGATCCACCTGTCCCAATGTTTTTTCTGGGATGCTAATTGTAATCCTGCAGGTACGTACATTTTCATAGACACAAACACACAAGTGAACTTTTAGTTTGTTTGGTTTCATTTGTGTATAGTGTTATTGGATATATATATATATATATATATATATATATATATATATATTAGAGCCAGCCTTGAGACTGGCGAAAGTGAATTGGAGGCCCTAAAAAGTACTATGAATTTTATTTTTTTTATTTTTTTGTCCAAAATAATAATTTTAGTTTTCAATTGAGCTTCTATAAATTCTAATAGCACACAACAAATTTAACAAATCAACAAGTGAAAAGCTGGCGTATTGTTTTTCCTTAACTATTTAGAGGGTCAGAGATCGAATTTTCATGTTATTGTGTGGAATTTTATATTATTTTGTGGAAGCTTATGCATTTAATAAAAATATAAACTGAAAAAATGATGAAGATGAGCTTTGAACCCATCTCCCTAGGCCAATGTAAAGAAGCAATAATTCCACTTGCGCTAAGACTCAAGTTGGTAATATTCTACACTTATTATTATATATACGTATATGCATGCAAAATTGAAAAAATCGGGGGCCCTTCCGATTTGGGGGCTTGCACCCCCTCAGCACCAGCCCTGATATATATATATATATATATATATATATATATATATATATAATTTTTCATTGGGAACGTCCTCAATTTTGTTCTTTCTGCAATCGTTGATATACAGAAATACCAAAAATAAATGATTACAAATATAAAAATCGATGCACATTTCTTAGGCACATCGCTATTCATAGTGTTGGAATCGATTCAAGTCACATGAGAAAATCTGATAATGGCTCCAATGTGCTGTGGCGACAGGAAAAGTGCACATAGAACTACTCTAATTGGTAGTTTACTTCAAACTCATAAAATTAAAGTTGTGGGATTTCAACTTTTATCATTCTTAGCTTATTTATTTGTGGAAAATTATTTTCACATTTTTTTAGCTCCAGTGTATATTGCTCTTTCATAGCTATTAGATTAAATAAATCAAAATAGTATTAAAGAACATATATATATATAACAAGTCGAGAAGGAGAAAATAGGAATGTAAAAATCATTTTCCCTATTTACCACAATGAACCTATGTTTTCTACAGCCTTTGAGTTAGCTTCAGTGGTGAGGGAGGGTCGTCCAATTCATTAGAGGTCGAATAGATTCAGGTTATCAATCGACATGGATTTTTTCATTCCCTTTTTTTTCTCATGTACTTACGTCGATTATGTTTTCCATTCCTTGTAATGCCCGCATATTTGGAAGGTATCAACATCAGAAAAACCTGTGAGGCATGGAGACTAGTGTTCCTACTCAAGATTTTCAAAACTGAACTATGGCACATATCCCATCTTATTAGGTTAACACATTACTGTTATATTCAATCCAAGTTTTTAATAACTTTTTTGTGGATGGAAGAATTAGATTGCTTTTAGTGACGCATTGAGCATTACTAAATTTTCACTATACCATATTACAATACGAAAGTACACGGAAAAACCTAACAACAAAAGCAAAAACAAAACCCAAAGGAGCCCTAATTACGTTTGAGGCATTTAGGCCCATTTGGCCAAAAGAGACATACATCCACAGCCCAGAAGAAGTGAAACATTAGCCCCAAGCTGGATCCTTAGATTGCTCTGCATTCTAGGGTTCATAAAATCTGCTGCTAGCAGGTCAACCAGAGCCATGTATATTAGGATCCCAGCTGATGCAGAGTTGAAGACTCCTTCCACAATTAGAGCAGTTGGGCTGGTATCATTGTAAATGTTTGATATTCCCATTCCAACACCAATTCCAATTGGGGTGGTGAGGGAGAAGAAAAGCACCATTGTTGCAATGGCCCTGGACTTGAAGTTGGCCTGCACATACAATTGGGACATTATATGTAAATTGTATGAAAATAGAAATTGTAATGGAGTTTACCCTAATTCACATCTCGAAAATGTTTCAAGAATTGGGGAGTGAGCGTAGATATTTTGTCTTGCCGTCCAGTGTATACATCAGTCGATGATAAATATACGGAGACGACTGTTTGCACTTCGTGACACGACAGTTTTACACAATTGTTGGATTAGGAAGAAACTTGTGGGCCTACGAACCCTCATTGGTGAAAAGACACATCAATCCAAGTGTCCTAAAAGATGAACGTTGACTGCTGAGATAAACGGATGTGTGAGGCCTTTAAGTTGCGATGATATGCAATTGGACCCTAGAAAGAATATGCAGGATCTCTGAATAGGTGCCTAGAAGATTATGTGACAATCAACAAGACTTTTTGGAGCTCTAAAACCCCACAAAATGGGAACCGGATCCCCTCGTGAGCATAGGGTGGGGATTCTCCTGACCGGGCCATCTGGGCCATTGAAATTTGATTTAACGGTTACAATAATTATAACTTTTAGAGGATCCCCTGTTTGTAGCCGTTGGATCAAATTTCAATAGCCCAGATGGTTCGGTCAGAAGGATCCCCACCCTATGCTCAGGAGGGGATCCGGTTCCCACAAATGGTATCCATGTGGCCATGTGAAAATTGGTCAATGGCTAGAAAATCGTAGCCTAGGATTAGAAATTAAAGTTTCAAAGACAAAGCATGGTTTCAGTTGAAGTTTGACACATCAAACATGTAAATATGTATCATACTATTATCACATATATGGGAAAGGTGATGTATATTTGGTTTTTGAGAAAATTGGAGTATTGATGTCTAGATTTTGGTCAACTGGGGTCTTAATTCTGAACTAAAATCTGTAAATATTGATCATTCAATATGTCGTAGGGTGAAGTAATGAGTCACTTTCAATAATACCACCAGAAATTCTGTCAAAATAAAGTGTTTAGAGGAGAATATAAGAGATGGGAGTTCTAACACAGTAACCCAAAAAAATCATTGTTCCACATTTGACAAGTTCAAAACCCAAATACTCAAGAATTTTGTTCATGGACCAATAATCCCCACTAAAATTCAGGAACCAATCCAATTTGTTTTTTTGCATGTGGTCTAATATCATAATAGATAGTCGATGTCCTACTAGATAGAGCGTTGGGTTCCTAGTTACTACTCATGCATTCCGAATTCGAAACTTTCATCTTCCTTAAATTATTGTAATATTTTCAAACCCTTACTCATTTTTTTTAAAAATATAATAAATTTAAAAAATAAGATTCA